TTACTAGTAAGGTAAATTGAAAGTGATTGCACATAATTAAGTTAGAAATATAATAATTTTCGAAGGAAATATATATGACCATCAAGAAAATCAAAGATTTCTCAAATTTTACTGAAATTGACTTCATTACAAAATAAAATGGATACAGTCTTTAAAAAAAATAAAGTTTTATTAGCAAGGAAAATTAAAAGTGATTGTGCAAGTTTATTGAGTGTTTGCCAATTTAGTTTTTGGGGTGCATTTGCCATTCTTTGTTGGACATTTGCTCTTTTTTGTTGGGCATTTGGTATTTTTGGGGTTCTACCTTTAACCACTGCACTGCGCAACACGCTTGTAAGCGCTCGACGGGTGGTGCGCAACGCGCCTCAGGGATCTTATAGGTATAGCGTATGATTCAAAACTCCTGCAGCTACATGGGGTTCATATCAGCTTCAAGGCTCTAGTAAACAGATGCCATTTTTTTTTTTAAATCGTGGGCAACATTCCCGGGTGTGAGGGCCTCAGTACTGAGTGAGAAACCAAGGCAGGCACACGCAGCATGAGCTCACAGCATTGCTGTTCAGCTTGTTTACCTGCTTGATGGAGTTCTGGGAGTTGTTCTACTCCCAAGCCTGGCCCGAGGCCAGGCTTGACTTGTGAGAGTTTGGTCCATCAGGCTGTTGCTTGAAGCGACCCGCAGGCCCATATTCCCACCACAGCCCGGTTGGTCCGGCATATTTTTTTAGAAAACAGTCTAGTTTTCTCTTGAAGATGTCCATGGTGGTTCTGGCAATATTTCTTATAGTCGCTGGGAGGACGTTGAACAACCGCGGACCTCTGATGTTTATACAGTGTTCTCTGATTGTGCCTATGGCACCTCTGCTCTTCACTGGTTCTATTCTGCATTTTCTTCCATATCGTTCACTCCAGTACATTGTTATTTTACTGTGTAGATTTGGGACCTGGCCCTCCAGTGCTTTCCTTGTGTATATTATTTGGTATCTCTCTCGTCTCCTTTCTAGTGAGTACATTTGGAGGGCTTTGAGATGATCCCAATAATTTAGGTGCTTTATCGCGTGCTGTGGTCACGAATCTCGTGACCACAGCATCGCCTAATAATGTCAAAATATATATGTAACTGGTATTATTTAGTCATGATAGTACTGTATTACAGAAGAGCCTGAGTGTGATAATGACTGTGTACAATGTTCAAATATCAGTGAATCAATGCTGTTCAAGATGTTCACAGTGCTAGCCACAGCCCCACAGCATTATTTCATCCATCTAGGAATCTTCAAATGACTTATGTTCCTTTACAAAATAAATTTGTAGTCAATTATTCACTTACAGGATTTAGTGACCAAGATTGTAATAACAGCAGGAGTGTGGTGATAATTAGCACTGTGTGTAGTATTGTGGGAGGAGGAATTTTGGTGAGGAAGGAGGGAATCGAGGTAGCGTCACTATGCGTGGCAGCCATTCTTGTTTGGGCTCACCATACTAGCTTAGTGGTTCGCTATGGTAAACACAAATGTAGATACTTATATATAACGTGTGTATATAGTGTAATAACAGCAACAAGAGTATGTTGGGAGGAGCCATTTTGGTGAGGGAGGTGGCATCGTTCTCATAGCGTCGTCTGCTGTGTGACTTGTCATGCAGTGTATGGGGGCCACTGTGCTGTTTGAACACAATACCAGCTTAGTTGTATAGTTATGGTGAATAAAACATTTAGATACTTATATATAATGTGTGTAGTGTAATAAAAACAATAACAGTATGGTGGGAGGAGGAATGTTAGCGAGTACGGTGTTGGAAGAGTGAGGGAGAGCTGGCCGGGTGTGGCAGTTCACTCATGTTTTCTTGGGCTCACCATCCCAACTTCACCGTAATGAACCACTATGTAGATGGGTTTATACAATGTGTGTATGTAGTGTAATAACAGCAAAAACACTGTTTGATTGATCACAGAATATAATATATGTGTCACATATATGAGCCCCATAATTTTGAGCATAGCGATGTTCCACACTTTGAACTATATAAATTTCACAAATTACATACGTTTGAATAATATTACAGAAAAAAACAAGAGAAGAAACCAATGAGAAACATAAAAATAATTGTGAAACATTATATTCGCAGCAACTATCGCTCCACGGGGTCGCGGGACCGACTGACCATCACTCAGTGCCCATAATTTGCTCAACTTCCCAGCTCCATTGCAGCTAAAGTATGTCACATAAAATATTTTTTTTTAGTTTCCCCATGATCAGAGACTGCATTTTAACAACGTAAGAAGAGAAAATATATTTTGGAAAGAATTTATTTCCTGCACACCAGGGGGTTGCCATATTTGGAGGCAGAGCAGTTCAGTGGTTATAACCGAACACTTCAATCTACGCCAATTACCTATCTTAACATTCAATTATTATTCCATTATTATTATTTTGAGTTACATTGTACTCAGCCTAACCAAATTTACACAAATCCTCATATAATTCAATTAATAATACATACAGTATCATGTTTATGCCACAGTAACTATGTGGGGAAATAGGTAAAATATCCATTTGTCTACAGACCAGTGCCACCCGAGTGTCTGGACACTTAGTGCTCAACAAACCTCAGGATGCCATCAGGTGTGTGTTAATGCCTCCATGGATATTGTATGTACAGCCTGTATTTTAGTGTCATTTTATTAAATAATGTCTCCTCTTTAGACTCAACCTTAACTTTCTTGAGTATCTAGAGACAGGTGTTTTTATTCTAATCACAGCCACTTATGAAACCAATGATATAAGCTGTAATGGCTGTATATAAAAACAGCATGCAGTACTATATGTATACATAAGACTGTGTAGATAAGACAATATATTTATGTAGCAAGTATTTTACAGTTGAGGCAACTGCCAATTTCTTTTCATTTAGGGGAGCCGGTCGGCTGAGCGGACAGCACGCTGGACTTGTGGTCCTGGGTTCGATCCCCGGGTGCCGGCGAGAAACAATGGGCAGAGTTTCTTTCACCCTATGCCCCTGTTACCTAGCAGTAAAATAGGTACCTGGGTGTTAGTCAGCTGTCACGGGCTGCTTCCTGGGGTTGGAGGCCTGGTCGAGGACCGGGCTGCCGGGACACTAAAAGCCCCGAAATCATCTCTAAATAACCTACTATAAGTATATGTTGATTCTGCACAACTTATAACTCTGTGACAAGGTTTCTGCTAGGCAATTTACAACAAGTAGTAAATATTTGACAGACAGCAAAATTAAAATAATATTTTTACCTAAATCCTGTACATGTATTATACCATACTATAGCACAGCCTTAATTAAAGTTAGTCTAATGTCAATAACACTCTTCAAACAACATTTGAGGATCAATAATGTTGGTCAAAATTATATTCAATGTGGACTTGATCATGGTCTGTATTCAACATGGTCGTATAATCTCTAAATATTTTATACAAATATAGTAAGATTAATTTTAATTCGTGTCATTAACGGATTTTTAATTCGTTGTTAAGTTATATATATAATTTCCATCATTGGAAGTAGCTATACTAATATCTGGATTGATTTGTTTACAAATTATGTTCCTGTATAGTCTGAGACACAATCGACTTAAGAATGGTCCAGGACGGACCGAAACGTCGTCGTCCCTTCACCTTCTAGTGTGTGGTCTGGTCAACATGTTCCTGTACAGTACATTTATGACGTTAAAGCTACGTTATGTATGTCAGCTGTGCTGACATACATAGCAGCTATAAGCTGATATATACTACCGCACTGGCCAAAAAATAAGCACTGTACTCCCAGCTGCGGGTTATTTTATTGTCTGCTACAGACACCCAAGAAATACTCCCCCAGGGTAGCATGTAGTGTTAACAGGTAGTGTTAACCTTCAGTATCTTCAACTACAGTACACTGTATACCGTACTGGTAAGATACAAGCAAAAAGGAACTTAACACAGTGTTTCTTCAGATTTTTCCTACAGTTTTTCTTGTATGACAACCAAATATTTTGAATATAGTACCCACGTATTAAAAGATATAATCAAAATAAAATGTAAGCTTTTGGTTTTATATAAATATTTATTGTGCTAAGATTAGTGTTCTTCATTGGTCAAAGAGAAAATAAAAGAGTGCAGTACTGTTCAAAATTGAGAGTACTGTATATCTATTTACTCCTTGTAACTAATTACAATGTATTTTATGATTCTGTTCTTCATAAATCTATACAAATGCACATAAAACACAATTGCTCAATACTGCAATATTTATGCCGGTGCATGGAGCAACCCCACCTGTGTTCAGTGTCTTCCTTCCGACAAACACCTTAACAATGCTTCCGTTAGAAACAGTTACAAGTTCAATGATGTTGTCTTTCAATGCTAAACCTCTAAACTAATAAATCTAAACTACAGCATCTACATGTCATCTCCGTGTACAGCTTCCAAACTTAATGTATGATTTGTATGTACAAGAATTGCAGTTCCGAGTGATCAGTTAAGCAATTTGCGGGGGAATATATTATTAGAATAACTTAACTAATGAGGTGAATGTAATAACTTAGGCTGATAGTACAGGAACATCACAAATCACTGTCACCAAATATGTCAACATCGTGAAGGGATCTGTTTGGTGTGGCGTATCTAAGGAAGCCCGGGAGCCAGTCGAGTGCCCACACATACGCCTCACCAGGGACACCAGGGGACACCAGGGACACGTAGTGGGGTTATCCAACACTCGTGTCCCCGGAACGGCCGCAATATCTGGGGCAGGAGGTGAATGGCCTGCCGTCATTCCTCCCGGCTTGGTCAAACTCCAATTCCCCACACGGTTTTCACTCCCCCATCTCTTATACCACTCCCTTTATCTCACTTCTTTGATCTTCTCAACCTCAATTGAAGCACAGGTTTTGCTTATAGGCACAAAAACAGCAGCATGAATCTCCACAATCACGACTCAAAACAACCATCAAAGCTGATTACTTCCATTGCCAGAATCACATGTAAACCAACCTGAGGTTCCTTGTCCTTTCATTCGCTGCATATCAGAGTGTCCAGCGTACATATAACTGTCACTTTTGAATGGTCACACACTGTACAAATCTGTCTTTCAGTCCACAAATTCCTCACTATCACTAATTCATGCGGCCATGTTAGTTGGAGGGCTCGATATCAGCCAATAACTGCCAGAAAAACATATGAAACCAAATGCCGATAGGTGGCGCAGAGAGGTTCATGAGTAGAACAAACGCAGGCTATTGTAATAGGAATCTATTAGTTAGTTTCCGAAGATATGATTACACCATATGATCAGCGGTAAAGAGGCACAAGGCAACCAGATGACGATAGCAAGACCTGAGTGGGAGTATTAGAAGAGGTCATTCACGAGCTTCGGCTACTATGAAAAGGAGGCATGGACTCCGCACGTGTACAGTATTTTTGTTATTCCCATATAGAGTTGTATTGCGACATTTGGTTATATAGCAAGCATTCTAAATGTCTTAATAATAGGAAAACTACTGAATATTTGTAATATTAAAGTTAATGCGAGGAGCTACCATTGTTGTGTAAATATTGTTGTCATTTATATATATATATATATATGGGCCTACTTTATTTGCTTTGTCGCTTCTGTTTCGTGGTATCACTTCCCAACCCTGGCCGCTGGCGCGAGCCGGCCCCAGCACTCCCCGGCTACTGCTTCAACACGCGTGTACAGAAGCAGTTTACCTTTCTCAAGAGCATGTCTGAAGATGACATCTCCTTGCTTGGATACAATAATCCAAGTGTCTTGGATGCAATAATCACCAGATATTTATACAGTTGAATAACTACTTTCTTTTTCCTGAAGTTTGTATTATTATTATCTAAGTTACGTCTAACTATTCCCAGGATTTGGTTGCCTTTTTTTTTTTACTGCAGCTCTCACAATTTTCAGTAATTTGTGGATTTTTTTAAAACTTTCAGTAATTTGTGGATTTTTTTAAATGTTTAATAATTTGTGGATAAAACTTTATTTATTTATTTATATATATACATGAAGGTACATTGGGTTTATGAGATTACATAGGATGGTGCGTTTACATTCTTGCCTTAATCTAACATAATATTAAGTAGGTAATTTCTAGCCAACTTTATAAAATGTTAACAGGTACAGTGTAAGAAAATTTGAAAAGATTAGTAGGCACATTGATAGCTTTTTCTGCTGCTTATATGCCCGGGCAACACCTCACCGTGTTGCCCGGGCAACGCCTCACCTCATTCATCTCCAAAGGTTGACAGGAATATTAACAATGCATTTGGAGCGAGTATATTATTGGGATAATCTACTCGCTACAGCTTTGATTGAAAGCAGTGATAGCTTGATTGATAATCTGACTAAGATTAGTTATCTTGAGATGATTTCGGGGCTAGCTTAGCGTCCCCGGTCCTCGACCAGGCCTCCTTTTGTTATACACATCCCCAGGAAGCAGCCCGTAGCAGCTGTCTAACTCCCAGGTACCTATAAAAAAAATTACTGCTAGGTGAACAGGAGTATCAGGGTGAAAGAAACGCCCATTGGTTTCCGCCTCCACCGGGAATCGAACCCGGAACCTCAGCACTACGAATCCGAAGGGCTGTCCACTCAGCTGTTAGGCCCCTGATAGCACAGTAGCACTAAATGTAGTGCTCTAAAGTCAATGTAGTAGGCACATTGATAGCATATATAAGATGACAGCAATGATCACAATGTAAAATTGTATGATTAGGTACATACTGTATATATATTGAGGGATTGGGTAGCACACAATATGTGTTCAATATATCAACCATGATATATGATATCAATGATTACAATGGTAAAGTTATATGGCTTAAGTACATATATTGGGGGATTGGGTGGCACTAAATACAGAGTGAGTTTTAAGCACTAGGTAGGAAACTATGAATTTAAAACTAAGTAATTTTTGTTTTTGTTTTTTAATAAGGCAAAAGTTGGACAGCTTTTTAAATAGTTAAGGAGTGAGTTCCGTAGACTAGGTCCCTTTATTTGCACAGAGTGTTTACACACAATAAATTTAACTCTGGGGATATCGAAGATATATTTATTTCTGGTGTGATGATTGTGGTTATTATTTAATTAATTGCAAGCTAGTTGTGTGGAAAGGGAGTCTGGAATGAGTAAGCTGTCTACTGCAGTCTACAAGTATCTGCTTGTACTTCATCTATATAGATGAAGTAAAGTGTAAAGTGTGTGGACCTAGACGGGGACACACTATACTTAGCCACACACGCTGGTGGTTGAGTGGACAGCACGCCGGATACGTAGTCCTGTGGTCCGAGGTGCCGGCGGAAACAGATGGGCAGAGTTTCTTTCATCCTGATGCCCCTGTTACATAGAAGTAAATAGGTACCTGGGAGTTGGACAGCTATTACGGGCTGCTTCCTGTGTGTGTGTGTGTGTGTGTGTACTCACCTAATTGTGCTTGCGGGGGTTGAACTCTGGCTCTTTGGTCCCGCCTCTCAACCGTCAGTCAGCAGGTGTACAGGTTCCTGAGCCTACTGGGCTCTATCATATCTACACTTAAAACTGTGTATGGAGTCAGCCTCCACCACATCACTTCCTAATGCATTCCATTTGTCAACCACTCTAACGCCAAAAAAGTTCTTTCTAATATCTCTGTGGCTCATTTGGGCACTCAGTTTCCACCTGTGTCCCCTAGTGCGTGTGCCCCTTGTGTTAAACAGCCTGTCTTTATCTACCCTGTCGATTCCCTTGAGAATCTTGAATGTGGTGATCATGTCCCCCTAACTCTTCTGTCTTCCAACGAAGTGAGGTTTAATTCCCGTAGTCTCTCCTCGTAGCTCATACCTCTCAGCTCGGGTACTAGTCTGGTGGCAAACCTTTGAACCTTTTCCAGTTTAGTCTTATCCTTGACTAGATATGGACTCCATACTGGAGCCGCATACTCCAGGATTGGTCTGACATATGTGGTATACAATGTTCTGAAAGATTCCTTACACAAGTTTCTAAAGGCCGTTCTTATGTTAGCCAACCTGGCATATGCTGCTGATGTTATCCTCTTGATATGAGCTTCAGGGGACAGGTCTGGCGTGATATCAACCCCCAGGTTTTTCTCTCTCTCTGACTCTTGAAGTATTTCATCTCCCAAATGATACCTTGTATCTGGTCTCCTGCTTCCTACCCCTATCTTCATTACATTACATTTGCTTGGGTTAAACTCTAACAACCATTTGTTAGACCATTCCTGCAGCTTGTCCAGGTCTTCTTGAAGCCTCAAGCTGTCCTCCTCTGTTTTAATCCGTCTCATAATTTTGGCGTCGTCAGCAAACATTGAGAAGAATGAGTCTATACCTTCTGGGAGATCATTTACGTATATCAGAAACAGGATAGGTCCGAGTACAGAGCCCTGTGGGACTCCACTGGTGACTTCACGCCAATCTGAGGTTTCACCCCTCACTGTAACTCTCTGCTTCCTGTTGTTTAGGTACTCCCTTATCCACTGGAGCGCCCTACCAGTTACTCCTGCCTGTTTCTCCAGCTTATGCATCAACCTTTTATGGGGTACTGTGTCAAAAGGCTTTCTGACAGTCCAAAAAAAGGCAGTCCGCCCATCCTTCTCTTTCTTGCTTAATCTTTGTCACCTGATCGTAGAATTCTATTAAGCCTGTAAGGCAAGATTTACCCTCCCTGAACCCATGTTGATGGGTTGTCACGAAGTCGCTTCTCTCCAGATGTGTTACTAGGTTTTTTCTCACGATCTTCTCCTTCACCTTGCATGGTATACAAGTTAAGGACACTGGCCTGTAGTTCAGTGCCTCTTGTCTGTCACCCTTTTTGTATATTGGGACTACATTAGCAGTCTTCCATATTTCTGGTAGGTCTCCCGTTTCCAGTGACCTACTATACACTAGGGAGAGTGGCAAGCAAAGGGCTCCTGCACACTCTTTCAATACCCATGGTGAGATTCCATCCGGCCCAACAGCTTTTCTCACGTCCAGCTCCAATAGGTGCTTCTTGACCTCATCTCTTGTAATTTCGAACCTTTCCAAGGTCGCCTAGTTTGCTGCCACCTCTCCTAGCGCCGTGACTTCTCCCTGTTCTATTGTAAAGACCTCCTGGAACCTTTTGTTGAGTTCTTCACACACCTCTCTGTCATTCTCAGTGTACAGTGCCCGTCCTAAGTTTCATCACCTGTTCCTTCACTGTTGTCTTCCTCCTGATGTGACTGTGTAGTAGCTTTGGTTCGGTCTTGACTTTTTTAGCTATATCATTTTCATACCTTTTCTCAGCTGCTCTTCTCACACTAACATACTCGTTCCTGGTTCTCTGGTATCTCTCTCTACTTTCTGGTGTTCTGTTATTACGGAAGTTCCTCCATGCCCTTTAGTTCAGCTCCTTTGTTTTCATACATTCCCTATTAAACCATACCATTAACCATTAACTATTAATGTATGATTTGTATGCACAAGAATTTAATTTCCGAGTGATCAGTTAAGCAATTTAGGGGGAAGATATTATTATTAGAATGACTTAACTAATGGGGTGAATGTATTAACTTAGGCTGATAGTACAAGAACATCACAAATCACTGTTGCCAAATTACGTCAACATCATGAAGGAAGACCCTAGGGCAGTCCGTTGTTGCCTTCAACATCGTTCTGACAGTTCCTGCGACGACGCTGAAACAAATCGTATTGGCGATTGCCTTTCCATTGGAGTCTTTCGGCGCTGTGAAGAAGGGGGACCTGCTGCTTGGGTGACAGCTTCTTCCCCATATCAACCTACCCTGGCTTTGCGCTCTGGAGAGCAGCTAAGCCACTTCAGACCGATAACCAGAGCGAAACTCCATAGTCTCCTGAGACTGATGGATGCCTACTACTCTTTCTGTTCAGCCCGGGACTCAAAACCAGGATTCTGGAGTATGAATCAAGAACGAAACTAACTGTACTCTGATTTACCTGAGGGCACTAAACCTAGCGGCCTCGACGAGGACAGGAAGCATGCGGCTTGTCAAAGGTCCTCCCCCCTGCGCCTTGATGATCTTTTCCAGGTAGACTTTAAAACTTAACACAGTTTTGGTATTTACGGCTTCGGCGGGTAAGCAGTTCCATGGGTTTATAACCCTGTGGGTGAAAAAGCACCTCCTATTCTCAGTCCTACATTGTGGCTTGTTGAGCTTGAAACCGTGGCTCCTTGTTTGTGTTACATCTGACCTTTTGAAGAAATTGTCCGGATCAACATCCTCTAACTTGTTCAGTATTTTAAAAGTTTCAATGAGATACACTATATCTGTGATTGACCTGCAATCAGTGATTTCAGACCAAATGGTATGAGGTACTTTGAGCTCTGTAATTACTTCATACACACGAATATTGGAAGATATTCTTATCCTGAACCCAGATTTTGCTAGTGCAGGCTAATAGACTGCACTTTTCATGTTCTCGATCTCCTGATCCCATGTATGATTAACCATCCTGTGAGATGGGGATATTAGATGACTTATAGCTAGTATTTTATGTACATCGTGTAATCTTTCATATAGAATAGTTGTTGTGTTGATTTAGGGGCGACGACGATCGTGGGATCATATAGAATAGGGTAGCAGCACATTGCTGTGTATACCTAAGCCTATTAATAAAAAAAAAAAAACTGTTTTACAAAACACTGCATCATTCAAATATTTTAACTTAAAATCACATAGGTCTAGTGTGGGTGTGAAAAACAATTTCTGATATGTATTTATACGTAAATGCTATGTACAATGTTTATTCTGCGCCATTGCAACCTCGAGGTGTTGCAAACAATCAAATTTCATTTGTATTTGCTTTGTTCAATTGAATTGAAACCACATTTGTTTTTATGTAAAATCTGTATATAGTAAAAAATACTATGAATCCAAATATAGAGTGGAGTGTATATAAAATAGTTTTCATTTTAGAACTAATTTCAATTGTCCCAATGTGAATTTTTACGCCTGTCTCCCTTGGTTCAATGTTTACAATCGTCAAACATGGCGTCGTCACCTCGGACAGATGATCATCACAGCGTTAATGGCGAAGTTTCAGGCTCGGCCAGATCTCGGGAATGGATTAGATTAAATGTCGGGGGGACACACTTCCTTACAACGAGGACTACCCTTTGTAGGGACCCCAATTCCTTTCTTTGCCGCCTGGTGCAAGAAGACCCCGAGCTCCACACAGACAAGGTGGGGTCAAGATTTTCACATTTATCGTTTAATTTAAGATAAACTTAATATCAAGGCTTTACTTTAAGCATTGTTAGTAAGTTAATTGAACAAGTAGTTATTATTGTGGGTTATATTGTATGTAATTACCGTAGTTAAATTTGAATCTCCCCATTTCCACTTAATTAGTTAATGTATCTTCCCATTTACAAATATTAACTCAAGGTGTAGTCATAAAATATAACCCTTAAGCCTCAATATTTAACAAGTTGGCCCCACTGTGTCCTGCCAATGAGAGAATGTGTAACATTTAAAACCATGATAATTTTCACACTTCCTTATTTCTGAATTAAATTATATTTTTATATAATGGAGTGGTTACATTCACTGTGCATTGATCATAGTGGTTGGTGCTAGGATCACCATCAACTGATTTCAACATGTTCCCTATGCAATTATATAGGTTTTTGGGTGTTAATTTTCAGGATGAATGCACAGCTTTAGGTTTAATTGGATATAAAAAAGAAAGTAAAATATGTTATGGTTCCATATTGATTTTCAATATTCATGTCAACCCTTAACCTCTAAAGTGCAGCTATAGGGAAGCATGATGGCCGAGTGGACAGCGCGCGGAATTCGTAGTCCTAAGGTTCCGGGTTCAATTCCCGCCGGAGGTGGAAGCAAATGGGCAGAGTTTCTTTCACCCTGACGCCCCTGTTTGCCTAACAGTAAATAGGTACCTGGGAGTTAGACAGATGCTACGGGCATCCTGGGGATGTGTAACAAAAAAGAGGCCTGGTCGAGGACTGGGCTGCAGAGAAGCTAAGCCCTGAAATCATCTCAAGATAACCTCAGGATGGGTATTCAAGCATGTCTGCACATGCGCAATGAGTATTTTTTAATTTGACTATAATTATGATTATTTTACAGAGAAATCACATTAAAATGATGTATCAATGAGAAAATCAGTAGAAGCTGTGGTTAGGATTCAAACCTTTGCTCTGGGTACTCCCAAGCAAGTTCCTGAGGCTTCAGTGGAAGCCTATGGAACCCTCGTGGATTCAGTAGAATCCCAGGTTCCAATCCTTTTGACTACGTCGTGGCCTAGTCGTCTTAAGGCATTTGCTTGAGAGTACCCAGAGCAAAGGTTTGAATCAGGAAAAATTCTCAGGAAATTTTTCATGATAATGTTTTCCAATTGGATTTTGAACAGCAGTAATGTCGTTTCATTTATGGTTTCAGCAAGTAGGTGGTTCCTTGGGTTTATAACCTAATAGATGAAAAGGCATCTCTCTTCTTTTCTCTCCTACATTGTGGCTTGATGAGTTTGCTGTAATTGTGACTTTCTCTTATGCAATTAATGACTAATTGTGTGTAAACTAACCTAATTATATGTACAACCATTTATAAATAAGTTTTTAATTTGACTTTTTTTGCTTTGTTTATGATATGCTGATGAGTATTTCAGAAACTAATTTTATGCTTTTTATTGGCAGCATCTTGATAATATAGTACTTTATAGTGATCACTTCCCATGTAATAAATTTTTTCTCAAATTATTTGATGATTATGGGTTACAGATGTTTTATTTATTATTTTTCATTTGGTTTGCTTGTACAGTGCTTCCTCACTCTAACGAACCCCGCTCTATCGAATTCCCGGAAGAGCTGAACAAATTGAATTCGGTACCAAATGTTCAGTGGAACATAAAAATGTTTGATTAAGCGAGAAATGTTCGTCCAAGTGGTCACCGAGGCCGAGCGTCGGAGCTGGCTGTCATCAACTATGATTCGCCAAAGTGTAAACAGTTATATAGTGTTTTATTATCCTTACCCATTGTTTCTAGTGAGAAATGGTTGAAGGATGATAAAATGGTGTCAGGGTTGCACTGGTGAGAGAGTTGTTGTCAGAGGGCAAGTGGTGTCAGTAGTTGGGGTTTATTGTTAGGGGGCAGGTGGTGTAAGTTACGTATTCTCATGGGAGGCAGGTTGTCAATGGTAGAAGTTGTCAAGGGAAGCTGTAGTAATAGTGGTGTCAGTAGAGGCTGGTTGTCAGAGGTAGAAATTGTCAAGGGAAGCTGGGGTAATAGTGGTGTCAGTAGAGGCTGGTTGTCAGAGGTAGAAATTGTCAAGGGAAGCTGAAGTAATAGTGGTGTCAGTAGAGGCTGGTTGTCAGAGGTAGAAATTGTCAAGGGAAGCTGAAGTAATAGTGGTGTCAGTAGAGGCTGTAGAGGCAACATGTGACTAGTGCCTTCATGCTCCCCCTCCAGCCCCCCCACCCCACCCTCCCTCCTGCACCTGACCACCAGAGACCAGCCGCTACTCACACTCTCCTCTCGTTGTCAGATGCCACGAGTCAATTTAATGGTGTTAATTATTGCATTATCTACACTGAAAATAGCCATTTTATTAGAAAAATGTCATATTGAAGCAATAATACAGTAATGGTGAAACTTGTGATATAGAGTATTTTAAACAGTTGGAACACATTTCCTTTTCACAAAATTTTTAAGACAATTGGGGGTGTAGAAAACAATAGCTAACGTGGCATTGTGTGGCCGGGTAACAGTGTGTCGCTGCTGGAGCCATTGGGGGGGGGGGGGGTTACTGGATCCCTCCCTCCCTCCCTCCCTCTAACAGCCTACGTAATACATTAGGTATTAATACAGTACTGTACTGTATAAAATTAATAAAACTTCAAAACAAACAATATTTTATGAATTAAAGCAATAAACAATATTATTTTAAACAAAACAATTTGTAAATCTATTTAGATTAAATTTTGAGTAGGCCAATGAAACAAGCACAGGTCGTTTAAATGTTAGGCCTTGGTGAGGTGGCTGGCATCATTTCAGGTGGTGTCAGGGGAGGCAGGTGGTGTCAGGTGTAGATGTTGTCAGGGGAGACAGGTGGTGGCAGGGGAGGTAGGTGGTGGCAGGTGGTAGCAGGGGAGACAGGTGGTGGCAGGGGAGGCAGGTAGTGGCAGGAGAGGCAGGTGGTGTCAGGTGGTGTCAGATGTTGTCAGGGGAGGCAGGTGGTGTCAGGTGAGGCAGGTGGTGGCAGGGGAGGCAGGTAGTGGCAGGAGAGGCAGGTGGTGTGAGGTGGTATCAGATGCCAGGGGAGGTAGGTGGTGGCAGGGGAAGCAGGTGGTGGCAGGGGAGGCAGGTGGTGGCAGGGGAGGCAGGTGGTGTCAGGGGAGGCAGGTGGTGGCAAGGTTGGCAGGTGGTGTGAGGTGGTATCAGATGTCAGGGGAGGTAGGTGGTGGCAGGGGAGGCAGGTGGTGGCAGGGGAGGCAGGGAAGGCAGGTGGTGTCAGTGGTGAGTTCTGGTTATCAGTTATCAGCTACATAGTTGGCAACACGTGGCTGGCGCCTCCATGCTTCCCCATCGATAAGTTCACACACTGCTTTACACCAAATTAGCTGAGAAAATGTTACCATTTCAGTTGTTTGTAGCACATTGCTGTATCATATTCCATAGTCAAAATGAAGAATTCATAATAAATGATGTTGTCAGTGGTGTGGGGAGGGTGTCAGTGGTGGGGGGGGGGATGGTGTCAGTGGTGTGGGGGGGATAGTGGTGTCAGTGCTTTGGGGGATGGTGTCAATGGTGGGGGGATGGTGGTTCCCCCAACTCAGATTATTATCGACACCTAAAGGGCATGAAAGATATTATAATGAAGCAGCGCACAACGAAGAAACAAACTAAAATTAAAAAGTTTTTGGTACGGTTTCACAGTAGGCCTACAAGACTAGCACCCAGCACTAGCAAGGATTCCCTTTGTGAGTCAGGTGCAATGTTTCCTAATGCAAATGTGTCCTGCCATATGTATTTAAAAAAAAAATATGAAGGTTGTTGGGGCTGGACAGATGGAACAAATTCCGCACTGGAACGAATCGGCTTTGCCCCATATAGTTCGTTCAAGTGAGGAGACACTGTACAGGTAACAAATATAATAAATGGCTTATTATAGTTGTAGTTTAAACATGATTGTACTAATAGTCTGTTTTTTGTCAGGATGAAACTGGTGCCTACTTAATTGATAGAGATCCAACATATTTTGGTCCAGTGCTAAATTACCTCCGGCATGGAAAATTAGTAATGAATAAAGACCTAGCAGAAGAAGGTAAAATGCATACTGTATTAATTTGTTATAGTTTATTAATTATAAATCTTTATACAAATTATAGGAAAAAATACAGATTCAAGTGTAATGAAATGCCACTTAATGATTGACACCTTAGTAGATCCCTAGTAGGTCTCTTATGGGTCAGCCTATTCTCAAAAATGTTGAACTCTCCTGCCGAGACATTGTGATTAAGCATAGGAATCTTCTGAGAGGGGCCCTAGCAGAAATCATGTTGAATATAATGGTGTGCCCTTTTCTGATAGGACCTCAGTAGTTCCCAATCCCCACCTTGTTTTATTTTTCCTCCATGAGGTGCTGAGGGTTTTTAGTCGTGACTCATGAGTGAGGTGGTAGGTTTGCTGAAACCCTGGGTGACCTGGGCTGTCATAGGGTGGCAGTTTGCTGCATGATGGCTAGTGTATTAAACTGGCAGCAACTGTTGTTTCCCTTAATTACTATCTCAGTTTCTCATTTGCATCAAGCAGTCACTTGTGTTGTTGAGTGTATTCTTTCTGATGAATTTTTCTTAGTTTTTGGATTGATGTCTGCTCCCCAAGCTCCCAGCACCTTGTAGAGAGAACCAGATTCTGGTCCTCGTACCCCAGTAGGAAGGGGTGCATCTCAAAGGCCATAAGAACATAAGAATAAAGAAAACTGAAGAAAGCTTATTGGCTCATACAAGGCAGCTCCTATTTATATCCATCCAAAGGCATTCATATATGTTTCTAATCTACTCTTGAAACAATTCAGAGATCTAGGTGCGTTATGCTATCCGGTATTTTGTTCCTTAAGTCAAAACCATATTTCCAAATCACTATTTATCTAGGTCCCTCCTGAATCTAAACCTATCTAATTTATATCTATTGTTTCACATATGTTTCTGGGGGGAGCCCCGTCGGCTCCCCGGAGCTATCCCAGGCTGATATGCTAATGTCAGACTTTGGCATCAGTCATGTGTATGGAGTTCTTAGGCCTACCGGGGACCACGGCCAGAACCGGGCCCCCTCAGAGAGGCAAGGGGAGCAATGGCCTATAGAAGCCCCCGTGTAGTTGGAAGCATTCTATGTCTGCCATCGACCGGAACAGGCACCCAGAAAGGTAAGCGCCCCAAAACAAACCCCTATTCTGGTTAAAATTGCTACCTAATACCGAACTAGTGGATAGAACTCCCCAACCGAAAACAAGCAAATTAGTGTGACGTCACACACTGCCGCGCCGCTGTCTGCGCAGCTCCCCCCTCCCCGGGAGGGGGAAGGGGGAGCCCCAGACCCCCCGCGCCGGCTACCCACACCTCAGTTCTTGAGGCTGATGCTATAGGCGATAGTCGTGGTGATAGTTTTGTTCGTTTGCAGCCGTCTCCTTCTTTTCTGGCGAAGAATGAGACTGCTGCGTTCCGGAGGGGTCCATGGGTGGTTGATGCTTGGTTGGTCAGGCCGGGGGTGCATCATGTTTTGTGTCCGGTTGCGGCGCTTCGCCGTTATTTGCGCGCCACAGCTTCTGTGTCCGGGGACGCGCTGTGGGTTGATCCGGTTTCCCTTCTTCCCTGTTCGCGGGTTCGGGTCTCTCAGGTCGTCCGCAGGGTTATTAGGTCTAGCCAGCCTGCGGTCTATCCCCGTGCCCATGACGTTCGTAAGTTCGCGGCTCTTGCTGCCGTATTTGGGAATATGTCTTGGTCTGATATTCGGGCGCGGGGATTTTGGCGGTCGAACAGGGTCCTGGCTGCTCGTTACCTTGTGAATGTCCCTGGCCCTCGTCGGGCCTGTGTTGCTTTGGGTCGGCGGTTGCAGCCAGTTGTCTCGGCTTCGAGTTGAGGGGTGAGCGACGACCGCCTCCCGGGTAAGTCCCTCTTTTTCTGTCTGTGGGTAGTTAGCTCCGGGGAGCCGACGGGGCTCCCCCCAGAAAACCAGCGTTGAATGTAATGAAACGCCATTTTCTGGGTGAGTCCCGGAGGCTCCCCGGCATCCCTCCCTCCCTCCGGTCGGCGGTTTTTCGCGTTTGACATCCAGCCTCAAGAACTGAGGTGTGGGTAGCCGGCGCGGGGGGTCTGGGGCTCCCCCTTCCCCCTCCCGGGGAGGGGGGAGCTGCGCAGACAGCGGCGCGGCAGTGTGTGACGTCACACTAATTTGCTTGTTTTCGGTTGGGGAGTTCTATCCACTAGTTCGGTATTAGGTAGCAATTTTAACCAGAATAGGGGTTTGTTTTGGGGCGCTTACCTTTCTGGGTGCCTGTTCCGGTCGATGGCAGACATAGAATGCTTCCAACTACACGGGGGCTTCTATAGGCCATTGCTCCCCTTGCCTCTCTGAGGGGGCCCGGTTCTGGCCGTGGTCCCCGGTAGGCCTAAGAACTCCATACACATGACTGATGCCAAAATCTGACATTAGCATATCAGCCTGGGATAGCTCCGGGGAGCCTCCGGGACTCACCCAGAAAATGGCGTTTCATTACATTCAACGCTGGTTTTTTGTAGATATATTTAAAACCTTATTTATGTCCCATTTTTATACCCTTGCATCCATTTATATCTTTTCAGGTATCTTAGAAGAAGCAGAATTCTACAACATTACAGAGTTAATTAGGTTAGTGAAAGAACGGATTAGCCAAAGAGATAACCGGCCCCCAAAAGCAGGGAAGAAACACATGTATAGAGTACTTCAGTGTCATGAAAATGAGCTAACTCAGCTTGTGTCAACTATGTCTGATGGCTGGAAGTTTGAACAGGTAAGTTAAATGCATGGAATTTTAATTGTGTGAGAGAATGCCTTGCTTCTTTCAAGTCGGTGTTCCATTCCCGGTAGTCCAAGTGATTGGGCACCATTCTTTCCCTCTGTCTCATCCCTTGTCCTTGTCCTTGTCCTCGTACACCTTCCAAGTTTTATACTGTATAGTCATACTGGCTAATTGCTTTCTCCTCATAATTACCTTACCTTACATCTCACCTTGCCTCTTCTCTTGGATTCTTATGGATATTTGCCTTTATTCCATCAATTTTGACTTGATAAAGGTCCAGGGTGGATCAATATGTCATTATCAGTTGCATATGTGTAGCTTGGGTTATTTATTTATTCAGTACAGTATTACATGGAAATAGTTACAAGATGAAATCTATGATTGTGATGCGTTGTCTTCCTCTATAAGTTTTATTGTATTACTCTTTAAAGTTTCTGGTGGTTTTGTCATACTGCACAATACCGTCTCATTAAGTTTATCCCATTCATCTACCACTTTGTTTGCAAAAGAGAATTCATGAAATACAGTACATGTAGTGTCATGGACAGATTAGTAGTATACATACCTGAGAATTCTTTAATGAGAAGGGTGTACAAGAGTAAAGTAAAGGGATCATATTGCAGAAGCAGATGATTGATATCTTGAAAAGGCTGAAGGCACTCTACTGCATTCTCAAGTGGTTTTAATAGGTATATGGTCTCTACTGTTATGGCTTACCCACATCACGGTGCAAGTTAGCAGCATTTAGGATGGTGCTTTGTGCATCTCTCCCATTAGTCTCGGTGATCTACATTTGTTCACCGATGGTTTATTGTTTAAACTGGGGAGCCGGTCGGCCGAGCGGACAGCATGCGGGACTTGTGATCCTGTGGTCCTGGGTTCGATCCCAGGCGCCGGCGAGAAACAATGGGCAGAGTTTCTTTCACCCTATGCTCCTGCTACCTAGCAGTAAAATAGGTACCTGGGTGTTAGTCAGCTGTCACGGGCTGCTTCCTGGGGGGGTGGAGGCCTGGTCGAGGACCGGGCCGCGGGGACACTAAAGCCCCGAAATCATCTCAAGATAACCTCAAGATAAGGGGCAGGATGATGCATACCTCTGCTGCATTAGTAATGTACTCTAGCAGACGCCTTGCTTCTGGATACTTGGAATTTAGTCCGCCAAGCAGTCCGTGTTTGAAGCATGTTAAATGTTCCTGCAGATGATGTCTTCTCTTTTTGTCTGATTTTGTTTGGTCATGGGTATTAAAACTGTTCATGGCTTGACATACTAGCAGTTACCTTAGTGGATCCTGTGCCGAGGCTTGGGGCAGCTAATGAGGTGCTGTTCATGAAAGGGCAATTTATTTTACTCTATAGTTTATTATTTGTTAAAAATCTTCTGCTCATGTCCTTGTCTTAGGGAGCAAATGAGTACAATAACTCGGAAATAAAATTTCAAGCAGCTATAAAAATTACTTTTCTGAGCAGTGCATTCAGTTACTTCCATTTCCACCCATGTGCTTCTTATTACTGTGTGTGCAGAACTCGGCTTTGCATTAGGACAAATTTGTGGCCATTCAAGTCTGTGAATCCTGTGATGATGTCAGTGGTTTTATCTGTCAGTAGTCAAGGGTGATATTCTAGTGAGTCAATTGACAATGAACAAGAATACTAGGTGAAAATCTTTATGATTCCAAGTATGGCTCAGAAGAGGATTTTCTGAGCTGAATTGCATACCTTTCCAGATTCTCCCTAGCATTGCTATGATTAGGCAGGGACTAGTTGAACGGATTCTTGCTGCCCAGGTGCGGAACGTATGCTTACCCTGTCTATTGTCATTTCCAGTGGAACCAGAAAAGGCTTCGGGGGTCATTCCATGCCAAATCATCACAAAATGGTTGACTTTTCAACTCGATCATCTGAAATTTGATAGGATGGTAAAGGATATGAAGTACTGTAACTTATGTATCCAAAATTTTAGTGCTCAGTAATGCATGATATTCCTACAGCAGGGTTGCCATTGTAAACAAAATTAAAAATATTTTCTTACAAGTTCAACAAAAAAATATATATCTTTGCTTCTAATTGTGGTAGAACCTATTTATTAGGCTTGTTTTGAATCTAAGAAACTTTTTTTTTTGTTAGGCCTTTGATGTTGATAGCATACCAATTGCATACATATACAGTATAGGTATGCTGAGAGAGAACTTTATCAACGACAAAGGCCAAAGATTTGTCAACTCTCTTCCCTCTAAATATAAGGGGCATGACACGCTACACATAGAAATCACAATAACGTGATATATCAAATGAACAAATTCACAGGGCCGTGATGAGGATTCGAACTTACGCCCGGGATGATCCCAGACACTGCCTTAGTCGATTGTGCCTTGACATCGTAAAGAATTGCAACCGGAAGTTCTACTGACCTTACTCAGATCCTGCAGCCTCTCCGAGACACAAACCAGGGTTTTACACAATTCCCCCATGCACTCAGGCTCTATCAACATGCTGTTCTACCTCTTTGCCCTTACTTCAATACACACAGAAATCACAATAGAAATGTCTTGGCGCAATCGACTAAGGCAGCGTCTGGGATCATCCCGGGCGTAAGTTCGAATCCTCTTCACGGTCCTTGTGGATTTGTTCATTTGATATATCATGCTATATAGTTCTGTGTGTATTGAAGTAATGGCGAAGAAGTAGAACAGCGTGTTGATAGAGCCCGTGTGCCTGGGGGAATTGTGTAAAACTGGTTTGTGTCTTGGAGAGGCTGCAGGATCTTAGTAAGGTCAGTAGAACTTCTGGATGCCATTTTTTTTACCATGTCATGGCGCAATTGACTAAGGCAGTGTCTGGGATCATCCCGGGCATAAGTTTGAATCCTCATCACGGTCCTTGTGGATTTGTTCATTAAGGGGCAAAATTGCCCAACCTCTCATGGTGTTCGAAAGAGAACTTGATAAACACCTCCAAATGATATCTAATCAACCTGGCTGTGATTCATACCATCAGGCTACGAGCAGCCACATCCAACAGCAGGTTTGGATGCGGTTGCTCACATCCAACCAGGCTGACCGTCAACCAGGAGGCCTATTCAGAGACTGGGTTGATCCTCGAAACCAGTGCAAGATAACTGAGGGTAACCTTGTAAGGAAATTTTTGTAGTTTTATTACATTGACAATCTCTCAAGAACGGCGAAGAAGGTTAGGTAGAGAAATAGAAACAATTGAACTCAAGCTACAAGAATCATACAAAACCCAGGAGAGGCAAAGAGAGCAAAAGGCCATCAGTGAAATAGAGAGAAATCCGAAATATTTTTTCTCCTATGCAAAATCAAGATCAAAAAACCACATCTAGTATCGGGCCCCTGCGAAAGGGAGATGGAACTTTCACAGATGACAACAAAGAAATGAGCGAGTTACTGAGGAAGCAGTACGACTCTGTTTTCAGTGAGCCATTAAATGCACTAAAGATTGATAACCCAAATGAATTTTTCATTGATATGATACCAACATCAAATCACATATCAGACGTCGCCCTATCCCCACTAGATTTTGAAGAAGCCATAAACAGTATGCCTATGCACTCTGCACCAGGCCCGGATTCTTGGAACTCCATATTCATCAAGAACTGTAAAAAACCACTATCGCAGGCCCTTCACATTCTGTGGAGACAAAGCCTAGATACTGGCGTTATCCCTGACATACTAAAAACAGCAGAGATAGCACCACTCCATAAAGGAGGAAATAAGGCAGAGGCAAAAAATTACAGACCGATAGCACTAACATCGCACATCATAAAAATTTTTGAGAGAGTGCTAAGAAGTAAGATCACAAAATACATGGAATCACAGCATCTCCATAACCCCGGACAACATGGTTTCAGAACAGGGCGCTCTTGCCTGTCGCAGTTGCTGGACCACTATGATATGGCATTAGATGCTATGGAAGACAAACAAAACGCTGATGTAATTTACACAGATTTCGCAAAAGCTTTTGATAAATGCGACCATGGTGTTATTGCACATAAAATGCGTTCAAAAGGAATTACCGGGAAAATAGGCAGATGGATCTACAATTTCCTGACTGACAGAACCCAATGTGTAATAGTCAACAAAATAAAATCCAGCCCATCAACCGTGAAGAGCTCAGTCCCCCAGGGTACTGTGCTTGCTCCAGTACTTTTTAATGTGCAATCAATTGTCAATCACATTGACAATCTCAAATGCTGAATGAATATCGTGCATCACTGAGGACTAAAATTTTGCATATGTCATGTTCTCTAAAGATCGTACTATACAGGTATTTCATGTAAATCTGAGATAGTCGATTGGAGCTGTGATGATTTGGCATGAAATGACCCTTCGACTTAGGGAGCAACTGTGTTTACTGCTTAAAAAGTGGCTTTAAATTTTTCTGATGCCTTTGAACGAATTAAATGCAGAGAAATTTATAATTCATTGTCGAGGCACAGACAGCTAGTGTATATGCTGTATACTCACCCTCCCAGTATGCAACCCCACAAGAAGTTGACTAACTCCTGGGTACCTGCTATGTGAACAGAAGCATTAGGTGATAGGAAATGCTCCCAACCATTTCTGTCCTGCCCGGGATTCAAACCCGGAATTCCTGGTTGTGAGTCGAGAATGAACCCGACTGTGTGACCGGGACCCTATGTTATAAATTTGTATTTTTTCTATTCTTGGATAGTAAGTGTTATTTTCTAATTGCTTATGGCTCAAAAGTATGGAAATGGCTTTTATTCCCTGCAAACTTTGCTTTGACTTTTGCCTTATTCAGTTCAGGGAAGATATATTGAAGGTTACTTGAAGGCTACTGACTCCTTATCCAGGACTGTGACAAATTGTCTCCTCAAACTTTAACAGTTTGTTTCAGCTCTAGATAAGAAGTTGGCAGCCTTCAAGTAAGTTTCAAGACATCTTCCCTAAGCTGTCTAAGGCATAGGTCTAAGCAAAGTTTGAGAGAAATGACATATTTTCTATACTTTGGAGGCATAAGCAATTAGAAAATAACACTTGCTACTCAGGAACAAAAATAGGTTAAACAGTGTAATCAATCAATTCTATCTCCTCCCTCCGTTACTCTTCCTCTCTCAGTTTTATTTTATAATTAATAACTTTGTAGTACTGTATTCCTCAAAATGTTTTAATTTAGCCACATGTATTAATTATCTGTTATTTCTTTCATGTTATTGACTGTGTAATCCATGTGCAATAGGGAACTTGAAGAAAAATTATGTTTCTCTTCTCCAGTTGATCAATATTGGATCTCAGTATAGTTATGGAAGTGAAGACCACACGGAATTCTTGTGTGTTGTGTCACGCGAGTATTCTTCATCGCCTGGCTCTCATCAATGCTCAACCGATCGACCTGACCACCTTGATCTACACAGCACCAAGGACTGTAGGAAACTCAACTTCATGTACAACATGCCAGCATCTCCTTAGAGATCTGCTTCTCAATTTTCTCATGCTCTTGCTGCCTATGCTGTCAGGGATGTGGATTGCTGGGCTATTGTTACTGCTGCACAGTTTTGAATGGTGAACATGACGTAATATGTGTAAAACTTTTTGTTCTAGACATTAGTTAAAATTCAGTGGAATTTGGATTTTGTTTGTTGAGCATGCAAGAATGTAGGTCACAGTATTGATGTTAAATAAGATATGAATAATATTTGGTCATGTTCACATAGCACTGCTTGAATGCCTGCCATTTTGCCTGACAACATTACCTGTCACAGAGTAAACACGCACAAAATGTCACTTCAGGATTGTTACGTACCCAGTCTGCCATGTCTAAGATAGTAACTTTAATCTATCTTATTACATAGTTCCAATTTTGCCTTGGCATCACACTGAGACATAAGTGGTATGCTTCTAAAGTGGCAATTGTTTTCCTACTCCTGCTTGCCTTACCTGTTGAATATGTCGGGAGGGATGTGGTTTGATAACACATTTTGTACGTTTGAGTGGGGTAGTTAGGAGTACTTTTACTACATCCTCCTTCATGTGTAAGGGGGCTATTGCCTATTATTGTTATGATATAAGCAAGTGGAATATTGTTAGATTTGTGACATGACCAGCAGTGTTTAGCCAAAGGTAGCTTTTTTACAAATGTTTCTTTAATTGTGATTGAAAATATAATGTTTAAGAAACTCTCAAATTAATATTGTTTACTATCTTTCCCAATTGTTTAAAATGCAAGATTGTATATTAGACAAACATTATTTTTAATTTGACAGATACATTATAGGTTTAACTGTAGATTAGATAGCCTGGTGAGTTGAGAGCCATTTTATTAGATGGCTGACAGCTGAAAAGTCCGGGCTCAACAGCCGATACTGGGTCCTACAGGCACAATTAGGTGAGTACATATGCTCTCTCAATAATGTTCTCTCACTCTTATATTCAGCAAGAATAATTCTAGGCTTGTACTTTGATTTTAAAATGATGTAATAATGTTCTTTCAGAGTTTTGGTGAGTAAATAATATAGTCATAAAAAGACATTAGAACCATCCCTGTGGGAAGTGTCATCAATAACAAATCTAATTAATGTTTTGGATAGTTTGCTTGTTTTTGTTAGTAGTGTCTTATATATGAAGAAGTTCCTTTACATTTGCACTGTTTCTACCTTGACCAATTTCTTCAGCATCAGAAAGTAATTAGCCTTTCACACTTTCAATTAAAAAATATCTAGAGAGATATGGAAAATAGAAGTTAGCATGGGTTATTACTTGTTGTAAGTGACTGCTGTTCCAGGCAAAGTTACTATCTGTCTGCATTCCATCTTCACCTTCAGATGGTCAGAATTTGCACAATTCCATTGTTTCTGAAGAGATGAATAGTTGCTCAAGTCCAAGGTTACATCAGTTGCAAACTAGATTTTCATTTACTTTGGTCAGCAGGATAATGTCTTCTCTTTCCAGTCAAAAGGATTTTGACTTTTTATTGGACTCAAGAAAATTCACGATATTTGTCATAGAATATGTTTATGTATTTTATCCTTAATAAGGGCAAAGTTGCCTATTCTGTGCTGAGTCGGAAAGATACTTTGTGAACCAGTCAGATTATTATTCAGTCCAGCCCCTGTTCACCTAGCAGAAAATAGGTACCTGGGAGATAGACAGCTGCTATGGGCTGCTTCCTGGGGATGTGTGTGTGTGTGAAAATTAGGATTAAGGACTTGCCCGAAACGTTATGCATGCTAGTGGCTGTACAAGAACGTGAGAACCCATGTATATATAAATAAATAAAAAATAAATAAATTACGACAAACTAAAAGATATATACAGTAGCTGCTGCTCCAGAAACAAGCTTGTACCAAATTAATAAACTAACACTGCCCTCCTCAGGAAGATTCAAACTTGGGACCATTGAACAGCCAAGAATGCCACACTTATTGGCTTTAACTTCTGATATTAAAGCCAATAAGTTTAAATCAATATCTTTGCAAAACATTTTCATAATGGAAGTGTAATTCTTTTTTTAGATACATTATTTTTCTGTAAATGTATAGTACAGTACCTCTTGCATTTTACTTGTATCTGTTACATCATCATCTATATTTTCAGTGAGCTGGCAAATGAACTATTTCACACATTCCATTCCTTCAAAATGTGGTTGAGGGGCTTAACATTAAAGAAATTAATGTTAAGCTCCTTAATTAATGTTAAGGAACAGATTAGAGGAGAATTGAAAAATATGAAAGTTCTGAAATTGGCCTTTAAAGCGTAATGATTTGTAGAAAGACAAAGAATGGTAAATAATAAATAGGTAGGTGATAGATTTATCAAAAGAGAACAGGGCTCCATTATTAAAAAACATAGAAAATATATAACTAAATTAACATAGGAGTGAGGGACAAATTAGTTTTTCTTCAAGGTGACAAAGCTCAGGAAATGCATGAAATGGTATATTATAGGGAAACATTACCGAACAATTGGTACCTGACATGGACCAAACATGGGAAACAATTGAAATTAAAAGGATCGCTAACCAAATTGCAATATAAAACTTGTATACACGGGTATAAATCAAATTATCTACTGTATGTTATATGGTTCACTTTAAGTAGCCGGGTATCATTGATTTGATGGAGGCCAAGTTGGAAGAGATAATTCTAAATAAGGAAGTCTTTAAAAAGAGTAACTCATTGCAGTGTGGAGAATTGGTAAGAATGATTAAGAAGAGTGGGGGGTACAGTAATATAGAAAGAGTCACTAAAACTAACCACATAACTAAAAAAAAATTGAAATTTAAATAGATTATAAATACATAGTGAAAAATATATTACTGTATGTAGGGGCCTGACAGCTGAGTAGACAGCGCTTCGGATTCGTAGTCCTGATGTTCCGGGTTCAATCCCAGGTTGAGGCGGTAATAAATGGGCAAAGTTTCTTTCACCCTGATGCACCTGTTCACCTAGCAGTAAATAGGTACCTGGGAGTTAGACAGCTGCTACGGGCTGCTTCCTGGGGGTGTGTAACAAAAAAAAAAAAAGGCCTGGTCGAGGACTGGGCCGCGGGGACGCTAAGCCCTGAAATCATCTCGAGATAACCTGTATTGTAAAATGCAAACAACCCACTGCAATTGACACATGTTTAAGAGAAGAATGTACTAGTAAAAGAGAAGGGCCATTCATTTTAAAAATATTTTTATCAGTAAAATCAGCAAGGATAGAATGAGGTTAATGTAATTATATTGTGGAATTTTTATCTAAAAAACTAAAGACTGGTAGTTATATTTGGTGAGGACAAAAGAAAATGGACCCTTTGGTTCTTAAACATGATGATTGCATTTATGCACCCACATGTAAAACAGGCAATGAGAATGGGAAGGAGATGCACCATACATTTCCTAACCTCATATGGGTGAAAGTGATAATAAACTTGGGAAAATGATTCCTAATACAATAATTAGACTTTAAAATGGAAAATTACAGTTTAACCTCAAAATATGGGAATAATAATAATAAAAAAAAAAATAGAAACTGGGATCCAAACTTTCAAATGTAAGTTGAAATGCCAGACTGAACCAGTGACATTAGCACTAGCCCATCAAAATTTTTCCAAATAATTTTTGCTTATAAATGTTGTACAGTACTATCATAGTGTTTATACATGTTCACTCATTGTAACCCTTTTGCTGCAGTAAGAAGGAATGATTATCATAAACAACAACTATGATAGGCAAGTTTAAAAAAAAAATGCATTGAATCAATTGTTCTAACATCTGAAAGTCAGATTTCTGGACAGATTTTCCACGAACAGAAGTTTAGGCCTAGCAGCTACTACCACCTGTTGGAGATAGAAATGTCACCCGTTGTTGCAGATATAATTAGTTCCTATACAAGACTAGGCGATTATTATGAGTGCTATAATTATTAATGCTAAATATGAAAAGATAATTTTTTATTTTATTGATTTTTTTTATAATAGGTAAATGTAAGGAAAAATAGATCAGACATTTTTGTATGTATTTTTGACAAATACATTAATTGTTTGGTGACCACTGCATGATTATTTCTTGTACTTTAAATGCTATTTAATGCATTAGTAACATTTCTAGCCCAAGTATTGAATGATTTGATTAATTTTTCTATTAATTATTGGAGGTTAAAAGTGATTTCTGGGAGGAGCCCCATCAGCTCCCCAGAGCTAACCGGGCTGATATGAATGTATTCGACCCTGGCATCAGTCAATGCATATGGAGTTCTAGGCCTACCTGGGACCATGAGCCAGAACCTGGCCCCCTCAGAGAGGCACGAGGAGCAGTGGCCTATAGAACCCCCCCCCCCCCCCCCGTGTAGTTGGAAGTATTGTCTGCCATCAACCGGGTCAGGCACCCACAAAGGTAAATGCCCCAAAACAAACCCCTATTCTGGTTAAAATATTGCTACTGAAAGCCGAAATAGTGGACAGAACTCCCCAAATGAAAACAAGCAAGTGAGTATGATGTCACCACTTCTCCACGCCGCCATCTGTGCAGCTCCTTCCTCCCCGGAAGGGGAAAGGGGGAGCCCCAGACCCCTGCATTGGCTATCCAAACCCCTAGTTCTGAGTCTGATGTGAACTGGCAAGGTCATGCACCTCTGGCTCCTGTATATTTCAATTCTGTGCCTTGTGGTTTGGTCCTGTCTACTTGGTGGTGTGCGAGCCAGGAGTAATTTCACAAGTACTCGGGCTACGTGTGCCTAAGGTTATCTTCCCTATGTGCCTTGTAAGTACTGCCCTTGGGACCTGGGGCCAACTTCCTCAAGTCACCTTGGGGTCTACCTCCCCAGGGTCTTTTGCTGCTTGGTGATTAACCACCCTTGGAGTCAGCTGTAGTGTTTCATGCACCATTGTTTGCCTCTGGGTAGGGGGTAGTTGTGTCACTGGTTGGGGCACAGGGTACTGTACAGC